TTTTGCTAAAAATCCATGCATATTAATTAATCATCACATTTCAATGAAACTTAAATAGATACATAGGACAATGCACAGACAGATATGGGTAATATTAATAACCTAATTTGCATAATTAATTTTCAGCTTTGGATATTTCAAGTACTATTACTTCATTACTTTTCAATGAAACTTGGTACATAGATGCTTAATTTTAATGTGTCTTCAATACTCTCTTTTTCTAAGCTTTCTTTGATTTGTAAGTATTATAAATTTCCATAATGTGGATCACATTGTTTAAACGTTGTGAATCTCAAGTAGACTGTCGACAGTCCTCGGGCCTAATGTAATTATGTTTTCGAGACAATCGAACGCCAAAGGCGTTTTATGGGAAATGCGAATCATTTCACGCGAGGGACTTCAGTCCCAAAAGACTGTCCCCGTCTGCGGGTTTCTAGTTGATATGAATAATTCATAGTTGATGCTGACGTCACGAAATAAATTATATTAACATAATGTATGCTAATTTATTCTAAATCTGGTAAGAAATCTTACCAGTGAATTGCAGCGCAGGACAGTTGATCGTGCCTAACGGCACTCCATACTTCCTGTCCTGGCATTCGCAATTTAAATTTATACACAATATTCATTAATAATAACAGATTAATATTAGGTATGACCGACTGTCGACAATCTACATCTCAAGTAGCAGACAAATATTAGTTGCCAAGCTTCTTGTTTGAAAGGCAAATCTTAAATTTTGAATTAATTTTAATGTGTCTCCACTACTCCCAGCGCATGGGACATTGAATGTCTGTGTTCTATACACTATATTCACACTGCTTCTAGTTTTATTTCATATTTATTTACTAGTATTTCATATATAGATGGTATAAACTTGACTTTGTTTATTCTAATGAACATGTATCCTTGTCCTGTATGATAATGAAATGATATAAACTGTGTAGAATCTGTCAAGTCTTCTTGTTAACTCAATGTCCAAATAATTCTCAGAACCACTGTAATTGTTGATGCACACTTTAAGTATTAATGTAGTATCTTTTTATCATCCATTTCAGAACGCAAACATTGCACTGATATGCAGCCTTCCACATGACTACCCCAACACTACTCCAGAAGTGTTTGTGAGGTCATCACAATTCAGTCGACAATACCAAAAACAAATCAACATAGATCTGAATAGATTCCTGTCAAGTCTGGAAAGAGGAGAGCTATGTATTGCAGAAACACTGCAATGGCTGCAGGACAATGCAAAAAAATATATCACTATACAGTTAGGTGAAGACAATCTACAAGATAAGTCGAGTAAATGTAACGATTTGAAATTCACTCGGCTTTGGATACATAGTCATCATATTTATAATAAAATCAAACGCAAAGACATTATTGAATGGGCGCAAGAACTTGGACTTAGTGGCTTTAGCATGCCAGGAAAACCAGGTGTCATCTGTGTTGAAGGTTACAGCAGTTTCTGTGAGGAATTTTGGAAACGTTTACGTCATCTCAACTGGAAAAAAATTACTATGCGACACAAAGAGGACATTGCCATGAAAACTAGTGACTCTGAATCTGAATTCGGAAAACTGAAGTTTTTTGAGAATTTTGAAGAAAAGAACTTTGATGCACATTCATTTGGTCATGGTCGAGACTATCACATGGATCTGGGTCTATTTTATCAATTTTTGGAACAACATAATTGTGGCTATATGTTTAAAATTTTACTTGGAGTGGATGGGAAAGTTTCAAAATCATAAAAGGTTATGAGACAACAACGGTAAATTCAGTATCAGTCTTCATGTATTCTACTTATTTATGCACCTCTGAATTTGAAATCTATTCTTGAGTCAACACATGAAATGTACAAATACATCCTTGTTTACAACTACAGGAATTTGACCTGGGTCTTCAGGGTTAAGTTTATTCTACTGTGTATATTTCATAAAATAAAACATGTCTTGGTAGATTTTTGACTCCCATGTGCGAAGCACAAAATGGGAGTCTTTGCAGTTAGTGTGTCTGTATGTGTGTGTGTGTGTGTGTGTGTGTATGTGTGTATGTGTGTCCGACTGTTCCACTGCTATCTCAAGAACCATACATCGGTTTTTGATGAAACTTGGTGCATAGATGCTCTGGGCCAATGCGCAGATTTGATTAGGTTTTGGTAAAAATCCATGCTCGTTAATTACCTAATTTGCATGATAATTAGCTAATTTTTAGCTGTTATGTGACTGTTCCACTGATATCTAAAGAACCACTCATTGGATTTTGATGAAACTTGGTACATAGATGCTCTGAACTAATGCTAGGTTTTGATTAGTTTTTGGTAATAATCCGTGGATACTAATTACCTAATTTGCATAATGATTAGTCAATTTTCGGTTTTTCCACTGATATCTCAAGTACTAATCATCACATATCAATGAATGTTTATACATGGATGCTGTAGGACAATAGACAGACCTGGATAATTGTGGGTTAAAATCTGTACATATTAATTACCCAATTTGCATAATTAACAATTTTAAGCTTTCACACTGATATCTAAAGTACTAATTTCCATTTTAATGAAACTTAGTACAAAGATGCTCTAGGACAATGTACAAACCTATTAGTTTGGGGTAAAACTCCCTAATTAGCATAATAATTCATAATTTTTTGGTTCTAATCACATTTCAATTAAACTTGGTACATAGAGTTTTTGTTACATTGCGAAGACCTCATTAGTTTTACAATCAAATCTGTTCATGTTAATTTTCTGATTTGCATAATTAGTTTTCAGCTAAGTAATTTCAAATTATATTTAATGTGTCTCCAATACTCTCAGCACATGGGAGTTCTTTCTAAGCTTTCTTTGATTTGAACTGATATTTATTAAAACTGCAAATTTGAGGACACTGCCTTTACCTTTTGGTCATTAAACATTGTAAAGATTTATTGTAGGGCACCATGGCAACAAGCATTCATATTCATGAGATGTATGGTAATGTAATTTTAGTGCCTCATTTTCTCAAACATACTTTTAAACAAGTGCAATAACATAGATATGCACCTCAATTTGTTTTACTTACAACTCCTCCGCTTCAATATGATGAGCACAAAGAGAACTTTAAAAAAATTAATGGGGACTGTGTCATTTTCAATGATTTGTTACTGTTCATTTATGTGTGACATTATTTTTCAGAAGCTGCTACTAGTCAAGAGAAAATGTTCCTCATAGATTTGAACACAGCAAAGGACTCCTACAATGATTTGCCATTCCCTACTCTGCATAATGACAATGAAAAACCATTAGATTTTTTCTTCTCACCAGTACAAAAAGTCCCTTCAGTTGAGAGTTCCCCAGGAATTGCAGTTAGTCCATTTCAGCAACAAGTACATGAATATAATACAGAAGATGTTGACAGTGTCCAAAACCATGGTCACACTTCCATCAAAGATACATGTCAAACAGAACCAATGGTTGGTGATAGTCATTGTAATGAACTATTTTCATCTTCAGATAAAAAATTATACAACTCTCTGCAAAGTTGCAAGTTAAAATCAGTTGTGTATTCTCAGAATCACTCAATTTCTGCTGATCAACCATCTCAGCTCTATCTCCGCAAACGTAAACCTCTTGTGAGCAAACCACCTGAAGATGACCTGCAAGACATTCCACAATTTGCAAATGATAGGTCTTCAATCAATCACACAAATCCAAACCACTGTGTTGCTTTAGAAAGAGTCCTTGGTGTGAATTCTAGTGCTGACAGATTTAATGTGGACAATAAACAGTTTGTTACCAATGATTCTCATCAGAGAGGTACAAGCAACTTGCCACTTTACAGTAATGATTCCACTGTGAGTAAGAGAATCAATTTGAATCAGCAGAATTACGATCCAATGTTACGTAGTGTACCTACCCACATTACTGTTAAGAACACACATGATGCAAACCCAAAGAATTCTCTCACAGCACCAAAAGCCGGACACCAATCCAGTCTTCAATTGAATGCTAGTAATCCAAACCAACATGATTCAGCACTGAAAAGAGGGTATAAAACCGGACTTAAAAGAAATATACTGTCATTTAAACCGCCATTTACTGCAAAATGCTTATCAACAGAAAATCTTCCATTACCAAATATTCTTTATTGTGGTACAGCAAGTAGATCATCTTGTGTAAATGGAGGATTCAGAACTCCAATTCTTGGTGTGAGTCAGCAGTCTACTTCAAGATATACTGGGGTAAGCAATATTTCTATATAACAGTAATTATCAGTGCCATGAAAACATTGTGAATGAATGAGTCCCTGTTTTAATTCATGCAAGCAATGGTTTAATAGCCTAAGAGCATAATGTTATCATGCACCGTGTTATAGTTTTGCAAGTTAGGCCACACAATAGCTAATATTGATAATATCTTTTGAAAATTGGCTTAAGATTGTTTTATGCTGGAAAAACAATCCTAAAATGATGGACATTATGATGTATTAGACAGTTTAAGAAGAAAAAGGTCACTTTACAAAAAAAGTTATAACCGACTGCTGTATGTACTGGTTTGATCAAGCAAGCATCACTATACTGCCAACAAATTTGCTGTGCCTGTGTGATGTAGTTGATCATTGCATCAAATCTGCGAACAAATACAATTTATAAACATAATTTTGACTACAGCATCTTAGAATTTACACTGTCACTTGGTGTATCTCAAATACATGTAATAAAATGCTAATACTGGACTCTAGATGCGTCCAAGATGCATTGTTGTTTTGTTATCCTCGATTTGGAGTGCTTTTACATTGTTTTTATAGCTAAAAACTACTTGGAAATAATGCTGATATACATATGCAGCTTGTGCATATATGTCATATAATGTGCAATATTTCATGGTTACCCCATCTTCAATAGTGGTTATTGTATTTAATGTTTTTGAAGCATGTAGCCCATGGAAGAAGGTTATCGCTGTCAGCATACCAACCTACAGTGAAACCGATATTTAAGCTACTGTGATCAAATGTTAGACTACTAGTGTAGTTTACTAGTGTAGAATTATTGTTTAAGATGGGTTATTTAACCAGATTTTTTATTTTGTTATATAAATCATCATCAGTTTTTTAGCAGAGCTGTTCATATTACTGATTGTCCGTCGTTGTCTGCAACTTTACAATTTCCACTTCTTCTTCGAAACCGCAAGTCAGAATGTTTTCAAATTTAATATGCAAGTACCTTGGATGGCTCTTCCTCAGATTTGTTCATTTCATGTCAAAATCTCAAATTCTCTATTTTTGGAGAATATTTTTGTCATTTTTGGTTAAAAAGTGATATTTTCGACTTCTTGTAAAAAACGGCAAGTCCGATTGCTTTAATATCACATATATAGGTACTACATGTGGACTTCTCTCAAATTTGTTCATTTTGTGATGATATCTTTAATTCTCTGATTTTAAGTGTCTGAATATTTTTGTCATTTTTGGTAAAAAGTGATATTTTTGAATTCCTGCTGAAAACAGTAAGTCTGATTGCTTTGTTACTATACATATTGTTCATTTTCTATTGATATCTTTAGTTTTTTAATTTAAATGTGTCTTGCTAACAGCGGAGCTATCTCAGCTGACAGGCTGCTTGTTAATAGTCTCAAAATTCTTGATGTTTTTAAACTTCACAAGTCATTACTTTTAAGTTTTATGCATGATATAATTCATGAGAATATCCCACAATCAATGTCAACATACAATTTGCAGTATATACATCTTAAATATAGAACACTACAAAGATGTTGAGATGATTTACTTGTACTTAGAACCACAGTAGCGTGGACATTTGCAATATCTTATTTAGGGCCTAAACTTTGGAACAGCATATCAATTTCTCCAGATATGATGCAGAAATTAAATTTACCAACATTGGCCTTCAAAAGGCTACAAGGTACGATCCTGAAGTAGCTAATTTTATTCCATTAATGGGAGCAAGTATAACTATGGGCCATTACTCAAAATATTGAAACAAAAAGCAAGGTCTAATCTTAGAAAGTACTTGTTTGTCTTACTAAACTTGTTGTGAGTGACAAAAATGTAAATACATTAAAAAATAGACTTGATAGACATTGGCAAGGTCTACCACTGAAATTTAACTACAAAGCAAATTAAATACCAGCATATTGGACAGTAGTCATAGAGGATGACAACTCAGATCTGCCTTCAGAGGCTAATTAATAGCCTATAGATAGAATCATTACATTACATGTTTCCTTTAATAAGAAATTTTACTTCTGTATTTTCTTTCAGAGAAATTTGTGTCGTGATTTGTTTTTCCCATCAGCTTCAGAAGTTGAAAATGTTGCTGTACCTTTAAGACAAGTTGTCTTACCCTTGACGTTTCAAAACATCAATATTTACAAAGAAATTCTAATATCTGCTTTAAAAGGTAACAACATATTCATTTATATAATTTTCATCCAATCTTGATTTGATTATATTTATCTTCTAATTAAAAATGACAGCTTTTTAATGATGATATATCTCCAAAGTTCTACAAAATGACTTGTTAGAATTTACCATATTATGAATGTAGTGAGATTTTCTTCCAAAACAAAAATTCAAGGCATCAAAACAAATTTTATATTTGATTAATTTTTTCAAAATGCCATTTCAAAAATAATTGTCACAGTGAATTAATTAGCCCCCGCCGGATCTGGGATCCGGGCGGGGGATATTAATTTGGGTCGTGTCTGTGCAAATGTGTGTGCACATTTTCATGTTACCAGCTTTTTCTC